AAAAAAAAAGAAAGAAAGAAAGAAAGAAAGAAAGAAAGAAACAGAAATAATCTTTTTTATTTTTATCTACATAAAGTAGCTTGAAAATGGGTCCCACTCCCACCCCTGGATGAGGGGAGGATAGGAGTAATGGCTATTGTACTAGACAGAGGATCAAAAGAATGAACAACAACCCACAGAAAGCAAAGAGTATCTGAGAACACAGCTGAGTCTTCTTACCACATTCTCCAAAGGTGCTGCACCAAACACTTTAAAGACAGGGTTGGGTTTGGAGGGTGAGATACAGAGGACAATAGCTTGCTGTCCCACTCGAGTAGTATATTCATCCAAGGTGGCTCGAAGTTTCCTGAATCAGAGAATGAAAAAAGAATAAAAACAGTTAAAAGAAATTATGGTGACATAGAAATTATGGTGACACAGAAACAAAACTTACTTTGACAATGTATTCTGATTAGATACAGGTGTTTTGTTTTGTTTTTTATGTGAAATGTGAAAAGGGGAGCGTGAGGTTGGATAGCTCATTCATTTAAAATATGTGCATACCTCTGTCCTAAAGACCAATGACTAGCCCACTGATATACGGGTCGGCCACAAGTTTGCTTCAGGATACAGACGTGACACAATGTTGAACATGGAGAGTATAATTCTTCCAGAACCACCAAAGGGGTTTTCTCTTACTGCTACTTATAATAATAAAGATTACTGCTGAGAGGTATTCTTGTAGACTTTATCATATCATCTCCACGCTTAATGAAACTCACAAACTGCGAGACGTAAGCCAAAGTCAGTCACTTAACCAACTGAGCCACCCAGGCGCCCCGCTCTATTAGTTTTAAGACACTATAATTAGTTTTAAGATTACTACAATAACCTCCTAATTACTCACCCTGCTTCCTTTCTTATACACCCAAATTCTATTCTCAACATGGCAGCCCAAGGGATCCTTTTATTTTATTTTATTTTTTTTTAAATTTTTTTTTCAACGTTTTTATTTATTTTGGGACAGAGAGACAGAGCAGAACGTGGGGGAGGGGCAGAGAGAGAGAGAGACACAGAATCGAAACAGGCCCAGGTCTTCGAAGCTACCAGCCCAGAGTCTCGGACGCTGGGCTCGAACTCAATGACCATGATCGTACATATATGAAGTCGGATTCTTTTAACCGACCATGCCCCACCCAGCCTTTGTGGGGATCTCTTTTAAAATATACATTAGGCCAGCGCTCTAAGACTTGCTGTTGGTGTCTCATTTTGATTTTGGTTTTGTATCATGATTCAGTTTATGAGATCGTGACCGCCTCGTCAGGTGCCTTTCTGTTGACATACAGCTCGGCTCTGCTTGGGGATTCTCTCTCTCTTCCTGCACCCCTCTGCCACTCCCCCTCCCCATACTCTCTTTCCCCCTCTCCTTCTGCCCTTCCCCCACTAGCACTCTCTCTCTCTCTCAAAATAAATAAATATTAAAAAAAAATATATATATATATATATATAAATCAGACCATATCACTGCTTTGGCCAGCCACTGACTTCTGGGGCACTCAAAAATTAAATAGTTAGGGCATCTGACTGATTTTGCCTCAGGCCATCCGCTTGTGAGTTCGAAAGCCTCCCAATACTCACCTCAGACACAGTATGGAGCTATTAGAATTTCCTTCCTCTCTTTCTGCCTTTCCCCCCTCCCCAAAATAAAGAAATTAACTTAAAAAAAAAAAAAAAAAAGCTTTCATTGACTGCCCATCTCACTCAGAACAAGAGTCAGCTCCTGTATACTGAATTAAAGATAATTACATATTGGCTCTCTCACTACTACTTTTTTTTTTAAGAGACATAGAGTGAGGGTGAGTGGGGGAGGCAGGGGGAAAGAAAATCTTAAGCAGACTCCAAACCCAGCACGGGAGCCAATACAGAGCTCGATCTCATGACCCTGAGATCATGACCTGAGCTGAAATCAAGTGTCAGACACTCAACCAACTGAGCCACCCAGGCGCCCTTTATCATATATACTACTACTCTGACTCAGTCTCCTCTCATTCTCTCCCTGACTGTTCCCCAAACATGACAACCATGTTCCATCCTACTTCAGAAACTCTGTTCTTGCTATTCCCTCTGTCTGAAAAGCTCTTTCCCTAGACGTCAACAATGCCCTTGCACTTACTTCAGATCTCTGCTCAAAGTTTGCCTGTCAAAGAAGACTTCCCAGACTACCCCTGTAAAATAAACTACTCTATATCCCCAAGCCCCAACCTTTCTATTTTCCTTACTCCACTTTATTTTTTCCCAAAGTACCTACCTTCATTTGACATTTTTCTTTTTCCCCCCACTAGAATAAGAGCTCTTTAAGGGAATTTGTTGTATTCACTGTTCTATTCCTAGAACCGTGTCTAGGAAGGCCTAGAACAATGTCTGGCACAGAGCCGGCATAAAAATTTTCTCTGAATGAACTGAAGTGATATTATACATCTGTTCATCATTTCTAGTTTCATTTATTTAATTCCATAGGAGTACTCTGAAGTCTAACTCTGCCATCAAGGGATCTAACTCGGTATCCTCAACGCACCAAATAACATATGTGCTAACTGTCACCCGCAGCATGAAGCGTTTGAGGAACAGCAACGATACGGATAAGGGAGTCCTCACCGAAGCAAACGTGTTTGCTGTCTCTTCCGGATAGATGGATTAGACTCAAACACATGAGGCCGTTTCCGTTTCTTTCCTGTTGCCACAGCAGCAGCAGCAGCCATTCCCACGGGACCTGAAATAACAACGTATGTGCGACATCAGGCAAAGCCTGTGAACTGTACAAGACAGAAAACAGAGGTGCAAAAAAGGCAGCACTTATCTCCTAATATCTTCTCAATACAGAATGTTCCTGATATGATCAACATACTTCATTATTGTGCAACATGAGTCATATTTTCATTTACCAATAAAACTTACAATGAATCTAAAAAAGTGATGGACTTAAACACCTCCCGACCATACACTAGCTAAATTTTACATCATGTTTTGGTTGCCAGCATGCCCATACTGTTGAGGCAATATTCTCAGAGGTGCCAGATGAAACTGCAGCATTGAGAGGAAGAGCTTGCCAAAAGAAAACAAAATCACAGATTTCAAATCTCACTTCCATCCCTGTGCCCCTCTTTCCATTACCCCAAGTTAAAGAAGTCAGAGACAATCATTCATACTTGGATCTCAAACAGTAACAACACCTGTAAGAGGAGTATCTGGAAGAATATTATCTTAATTGGATATTCTTTCCTTACATATCTGAGAAATGTGCCTAAAATGGAGTTGCTGAGCACAAAAAAACCTGACGCTGGCAGGAAAGAGATGAAAACCATGCCACTCTTAAGGAAAACATGTTAATAAAAATTGGTCTGGCTTGCCCTGAAATTAAAATGAAGCGTAGGCCCTAAGGAATTATTGGAGTCTCTGATCCATAGGACCTCAATATATCAAGGACATTCCTTTTTTTTTTGTTTTTTTAAGCAGATGATCCACTTTTATCTTTTTTTGTAAACCCTATAAAAAGCTAAAATGAAAATTATATTTACTCACATTTATACTGGCATATGTGTTATATATGTTCTAAGCGGCTCAATTAAAATAAGCCTCCCTGGGGGTGCCTGGGTGGCTGTTAGTTAAGCATCCGACTTCAGCTCAGGTCATGATCTCACGGTTCATGAGCCTGAGCACTGCGTCAGGCTCTGTGCGACAGCTCAGAGCCTGGAGCCTGCTTCAGATTCTGTGTCTCCCTCTCTCTCTGCCCCTCCCCTCCTCACATTCTGTCTGTCCTTCTCTCAAAAATAAACATTAAAAAATATTTAAATAAGCCTCCCTGAAAATCTAGACAAATCTCTCTACATGTTATTTAGTACTATAATCAGTCTGACTTAAATTCCTCTAAAGAGCCCCAGAGCAAGTCAAAAAATAAATTCATCCTTTTTACCTTCTTTTCCAACATAAACAGCTGATAGATGAAAAAATCTTACTGATGCATTTATCCAGCATTTTATTTTTTTAATTGTGATAAGAACACTGAACAGGAGACCTACCATATTAACTTTTTAAAGACTTTATCTTCATTTATTCCTTCTCTGATGCTCTTCCTTTTTTTAATTTTATTTTTTTAATCTACCATATTAAAATTTTAAGTGTGTAAGATAGGCACTATTTTGTATGCCAGATTTCTAGAATTTATTCATCCTGCATAATTGAAACTTTACACCTGTTGAAGAACAACTCTTCATTTCCACACCCCCGTCCCTGGCAACTACCATTGTACCCCTGTTCCTGTGAGTTTGACTAATACCTCATATAAGTGAAATCATGCAGGATCTGTTCTTCTGTAACTGGCTTATTTCACTTAGCATAATGCCCTCAAGGTTCACCCAGGTTGTTGCCATATGGCAGGATTTCCTTCCTTTTAATGGTTGGATAATATTCCATTCTATATAGGAGCGTAAGTCTTGATTTTGGCTCAGGTTATGATCTTACAGTTCATGAGACCGAGCCCCCTGTTGGCTGTGCTCTGACAGCACGGAATCTGCTTGGGATATTCTCTCTCTCTCCCTCTCCCTTCTTCCCTCCCTCCCTCCCTCACCTGTTTGCACACTCTCTCTCTCTTTCAAAATTAAAAAAAAAAAAAAAACACATTTAAAAAGATATTCCCTTCCAGATATACACATTTTCTTTAGCCATTCATCCATCAGTGAACATCTGAATTGCTTCCACAACTTATTGTGAATAATGAACATGGGAATGCAAATAACTCTACGAGATCCTAATTTCAATTCTTCCAAATAGATATCCAGAGGTGGAATTGCTGGATCATAGGGTAGTTCTATTTTTAATTTTTTGCAGAAACTTCATACTGCTTTCCACAGAGGCTGTACCATTTTACATTCCCACCAACAGCATACAAGGTTCCAATTTCTCCATATCCTTGCTAATATTTATCTTCTGTTTTTTGTTGTTGTTTTTTTAAATGCTTATTTATGACAGAGAGCACAAGAGGGAGAGGGGCAGAGAGAGAGAGAGAGAGAGAGAAAGAGAGAGAGAGAATCTGTGTTGATAGCACAGAGCCCAATGGGGGACTTAATCTCATGAACCATGAGATCATGTCCTGAGCCAAAATCAAGAGTCAAATGCTTAACTGACTGAGCCACCCAGGCCACCCCCCCCCCCCCCCCGCCTTTTTTTATAAGAGCCATCCTTACAGGTGTTAGGTAACATCTCATGTGGTTTCAATTTGCATCTCCTTGATAATTAGTAATGTTGAGCATCTTTTCATGGGCCTGTTGACCATTTGTACATCTTCTTTAGAGAGATGTCTACTTCAGTCCTTTGTCCATTTAAAAAAATTTTTTTTAACGTTTTATTATTGAGAGACAGAGAGACACAGAGCGTGAGCAGGGGAGGGGTAGAGAGAGGGGGAGACACAGAATCTGAAGTAGGCTCCAGGCTCTGAGCTGTCAGCCCAGAGCCCGACACGGGGCTCAAACTCACAAACTGTAAGATCCATGACCTGAGCTGAAGTTGGTTGTTTAACCAACTGAGCCACCCAGGTGCCCCTGTCCATTTTTTAATCAGGTTATTTGTTTTTATTCTATTGAGTTGTAGGAGTCCAACATTTTATTACTAAAACTTTCAAATATAGAGCAAAGTTGAAAGATTTTTATGGCAAATATTCATATATCTACCACTTACACTCTACTATTAATATTTTACTATCTGCATCTATCCATCTTTTTTTTTTTTAAGTTTTTTAAAGACTGTTTTATTTTTAAGTAATCTCTACACCTGACATGGGGCTTGAACTCACAAGCCTCCAGATCAAGAGTTGCATGCTCTACTGACTGAGCATGAGACAGCCAGGTGCCCCCATCCATCTCTCTACCCATATCATTTTTTAAATTCTGATGCATGTATGGTTCTCCTAAGTATTCAGTAGGAAAATCATGGGCTAGAGTTCTATATTTGTTTATAATTTTTTCTTTTGAGGTAAAATTTACATATACTGCAATGTAAAAATCTGAAGTGTAACTTCAATCAATTTTGAAAAATGTACACACGGATGATAACTAATCTATCAAGATATATAATACCACTGCTACACAAAGTTCTCTTATGTCCCCTCCCAGTCAGTTCCTATCCAATCTCCCAAAAAGTACCTACAATTCTGATTTTTATCATCCTATATTAATTCTGCCTATTCTAGAACTTCAAATAAATAGAAATCATACAGAATATACTTTTTTGTGTAAGGTTTCTTTCACTTAGAATAATGTCTTTGAGGTTCATCCACACTGTTATATGTATTAGTAGTATGTTCCTTTTTATTGATGAGTAATATTCCATAGTATGAATAAGTCATAGTTAATCCATTACCCTACTGATAGACACTCAGGGAATTTCAAGTTTTAGGCTATTAAGAATAAAGATGCTTAATTAATTTATGAATTCAATACAATTCACATAAAAGTCCCAGTATGGGTTTTTGTGGAAATTGATAAATTGATCTTAAAATTTAAATGGAAATGCAAAAGGCCAAGAACCGCCAGAATAACTGTGAAGAATTTTAAGAATTTTAAAAGGTGCACTCCTATCAAATATCAGTAGTTACTATAAACTAGTTACTATAAAGAGTCATTAAGACAGTGTATAACTGCCTGAAGGATAGACAAATAAACCAATGCAACTGAATGAAGAGTTCACACACATCTTGTGAAGACCAAAGTGGGAAAAGGATGAATTATTAAAAATATGGTGCTGGGGTGCACCTGTGTGGCTCAGTCGGTTAAGCGTCTGACTTCAGCTCAGGTCATGATCTCGTGGTTCATGGGTTCGAGCCCCGCACTGGGCTCTGTGCTGACAGCTTTCAGAGCACAAGCCTCTCTTGATTCTACAATATTACTCCCTCTCTCTGCTCCTCCCCTGCTAACACACTGTCCTTCTCTCAAAAATAAATAAACATTTTAAAAGATAAAAAAAAAAAAAAAAAAAAAAAAAAAAAAAGGGTACTGGGACAGGGGTGCCTGGATGGCTCAGTCAGTTGAATGTCTCTTGATTTTGGCTCAGGTCATGATCTCATGGTTCGTGGTTTCAAGCCCTGCATCAGGCTCTGTGCTGACAGTTCTGAGCTTGGATACTGCTTCACATTCTGTGTCTACCCGTCTTTCTGCCCCTCCCCGTCTTGTGTGCGTGCACGTGCGTGCTCTCTCTCACCCCCATCAAAAATAAATAAACATCAGAAAAAAATTTTTAAAAACCCAACATAGTAAAAATCTTCATAACTTCTATAATACATTGTTGTAGAGCATTTATAAACTCAGGGTTAAGAATTCCTTAAATAAGACTCCAAAAGGATAAACTGATAAATTTCACAATAATATAAATTAAAACCTTTATGGACAAAAAGAAATAATAAAAACTTAGGGAAAGGAGTGGTCAACAAATTGGGAGAAGATAATAAATGCAATGCATATTATCAAGAAAAGAACAGTATTAAAAATATATCAATAACTCTTACAAATCAATAAGAAAAAAAAACGATAACCCAAATGGACAAAGGCATAAATAGGAAATGTGCACAAGAAGAAAAGTGAATAGTCAAAAAAGATCTGAAATGGTGCTCTATCTTGTCTTTCTGCACTGTCTGGAGCCTCTTGCTCAGACACAAGTAAATTCAACCAACAGCGAGATATTATTTCATATTCATCCAACTGGCAAAACCAAAAAACGATTGGCAATACCAAATCTGGTATGGATTGGAAGCAAAAGGCACTCTAACATATTGCTTGTGGGAATGTAAGTTCATACAACGATCTGGAAAGACATTTGGAACATTTAGTAAAGTTGAAAATGTGCCCATCTTTGCCCTCTATTTCTCCTCTTGGGTATACCCTTCAGCATTGTTTTCAAACTGCAGGTTTCTGTTCTTTGGTGGTTCATGAGTAATTTGGGTTTTTTTTTTTTTTTGTATTTTGTGTTTTTTAAAATAAAATGGAATGAAGTGAAAGATTCTAGAACATATCAGAGAGCATGCCACTTGCAGAGGGGTGTTACTCCATGAGAAACTTACTCAGTTATATGTGCATTCATTTCTCCTAGATTACAATGTAAAATGTATCACTGTGGGAACTGTCGAGAGTTTGAAAACCAATGCCAAAAGAAACTCTCACAATTGGTACAAGAAAACACAAAATAATTTTCATTTGCAGCTATTGTAATAGCAAAAACTTATACAACCTAAATGTTATAATGATATATGACGTATTTAGATGATGAATGGAATACCAAATAACAGTTAAAATAAAACTGCCACATTATCAATATGAATGAAATCTCAAAAAAAAAAACAAAACTGAATAAACAATGTTACACAGAGAGAGGATTAGAAATGATATCATTTATATAAAATTTAACGCAATGCAAACCAGGTTCAGTATTATTTATTGATACATAGGTGTACAGCAGAAGTATAAAAGAAATGCATGAGAATGAGAAAAATCAAATTTAGAATAGCGGTTACCTCAGTGGAGGGAGAGAAAAGAATAGGATTAGAAAAGCAGCAACCTGCTTCCCTTCCCTCTCCATTCACCTTACTTCATTATTTCCTCCAGAGTCCTCAGTGCTCTTTATTTTACTTTATTATTTGTACCCTTCTCTCCACCACTGGTCTGTAAGCTACTGTAAGAGCAAGCTCCTGCCTGTCTTGTTTGTAGTGGCTATACATAGTGACAGAGAGTATATAGTAATTCCTCAATAATTGCTGAATGGTTAAATGGTATATCATTTCTACTAGCTAGGCCTCAGTTTCCACATTTGCCACATGAAAGCGTTAGATTAGACTCCTTTCCTAATTTTAACACTATGACAATTCAGCACATACAGTAATGTAGCAAAACTCTGTCTCAAAAGCATCTTCCTTCCTAGGAAAGAAGTTGACCTGGATTCATTATGTTAGGATGCCCTCTTCTGGGAAGTATAAAAATTTCAAAAATATATTTTGCAAACATTTCATGTGTTCCTGCCACTAAGTTTTATTTTAAAATCACAATTCTAGAAATACACAGTGGATAATAACTGATAGTAATTAGATCGTTTTTCATTACACTTGTCTTCTTCTCTTTAAACATAGCAAATACTAAAAAGATGAAATATGTTGGCTATTCCCGATAATTGATTTACTGTTCAGCTTTCCCTAAATATCTTATAAGGTCAATGTTCCTTATACAGTATCAAACCCATCCAGGCATGGCTTACATGGAGTCTTCCACACAGTGTTTAACATACAATGTAAATAGCAAAGAGAATGGTACAAAATATAGCCCAGCTTTAAGTAATTTAGTGGCCCAGAACATCTCAAAACCTTAAATTGGATTAAGATAATACAGGATTTCTAGTGTCCTCAGGCATCTGGCAGAAGCAAAGAAAAATCCTCTCTAGAGGACAATAATATTATTCTAGACCCCAAATTATTTCTAAAAGTAAATTTCCAAACACACCATCCGGCATTCATTTAAATATAAACCAATACATAAAGAGAAAAACTAATGTAAACAAGAAATAGCACTAACAACATATAACAGGAAAAGACTCACGGGCACTTCAGACAGTAGAATTACCAAATATACTATAAAATCATGATGCTTACTTCACTCACAGAGAATAAAAAACTTTTTTTCTACTACAACTAGAAACTATAATAGTACAAATTTGGGGAGAAAAAAACATACTAGAAATTCTAAAACAAGAAAAAAAAAACTGTATTACTAAAATTAGCTTTCTCAGTGATCTCAGTGGACAGATTTAAAAGCACCTTAGACACAGTTGAAGAGAAAAATTAATAAACTGGAAAAGAATTTGAAGAAACTCAGTCCACAGACTGAAGCATAAAGAGACAAAATGATAGTAATACAGAATAGAAGGTAAGAGACATAAAGGACTCGATGAGAAAAACTAACATATTTAATTGGAATCATAGAAGGAACAGATGGAATGGAGCAAAGGCAAAACTTGAAGCAAAATCTATAGTGACTAAGATTTTCTGGAACTGATGAAAGACATCAATACACAGATTCAAGATGTTCAAAGAATCCTAAACAATTAAATGAGAAGTCCAGAGCCAGATATAGCACAAAAACTGAACACAGGAAAACCAAACCAAACCAAACCAAACCAAACCAAAAGACAGAGACGATCTTAAGAACAGTGGGAGGTGGGGTCTGTGTGGGAGATAACCTTCAAAGGAGCAGCTGTTAGAATAAAGGAGTTGAATTCCAAAAAGCAAGGATGGAAGCCAGGACAGTGGAAACAGTTTCTTAAATATGAGGGGGGGGGGGGGGAATAAGTACCAACCTAGAATTCTATACCCAGTAAGAACATCCTTCGAGACTGAAGGTTAAATAAGAACATTCTCAGACAAATAAAAACTGAGAGACTTCCATGATGAAGGAAATACTAAATGGTATCTTTAAGTAGAAGAAAAATTCTCAGAAGGCAAGTTGGACATAAAGGAAAAAGTGAACACTGGGGTGCCTGGGTGGCTCAGTTGGTTAAACTTCCAACTTCAGCTCAGGTCATGATCTCACGGTTCATGAGTTCAAGCCCCATGTCAGGCTCTGTGCTGACAGCTCAGAGCCAGACGCCTGCTTCAGATTCTGTTTCCCTCTCTCTCTGCCCCTCCCTCACTCATAGTCTATCTCTGTCTCTCTCTCAAATAAATAAAACCTTAAAAATTTTTTAAAAACGAACACTAACAATGGATAAAACAAAAAATAATGTCTTGTATGGCTTAAAATATACAAAGAATCAATACACAGAACAACAAGAGCATATAGGTCAGGATCAGGGGAATAAAATCCGAGTGTTCCAAGAAAATTGCATTATCCCTAAGAGGACAAAAGTACCAGTTACAGAAGACTTCGAAATAAGTTAAAGATGTATTATAATTTCTAGGGGTACCACTCATCATAAAAATATGTATAACTTCCAAACTGACAAGAAAAAAAATTAAAAATTTTCCAGTCCCTCCAAAACATGAAGGAAATATAAACAAAGAATAAGTGGGATGAAGAGAAAGCATACAATAAACATGATAAATTTAAATCGAAATATACCAGTGACTACATTCAATGTAAATGGACTAAATGCTTCAGTTAAAAAGTCAAAAGATTGCTGGAATGGATGAAAAAACAAAAACAGTCATATCGTTAATAGTATATGATTCTAAAGCTTCAGTCTCAGTATAATACAAGCACAAGTTGTAAATGCAAGGTTTAAAAAAAAAATCATGAAGGTATGATATGGAGATGTATGTGAGAGTGCCTGCATCCTAGGCCCTTTCAGATATGCACAATACCAGAGGTAAGCGAAAAATAAAGAGCATCTGATCCAAACAACATTACCTGCAGCAGCCAGATGAGCGGTGACCTCATCAGCCGCTGTGGAGTTGAGTATGTCTGAATCATCGTAAGAGGTGTCCTCAGGAGAAGAAGGAGAGTCTTCATCAGCACTCAGCATACTGTGCTCAGTGTAGGTGGCCACATGGACCTGCTGTACTTGTTGGGCAACTGCATGGGCTTCTATGGTAGCCATGTGTTCAGTTTGGGTCACTCCGTGTTCCTCCATGAAGATTTACTGTCAGAAAAAAAGGCAAAGAACAGAATTCAGTGTGTAATATAACACAATGCTTATACTAAGCAATATTTTCCTCAAGAGCAGAGGAAGGCTACAATTTCACTACATACCTCACCACACCAAGTCATAGGAAATGGAAAGCACCATTCAAATATACCTAAAAATGGTAGAATGTTTCCCTGATGTAAAACCATTCTGATGAAAATTCGCTGTGCTAATTTTATGCCTCAGGTCACAAAACCGTAAGTACTCTTGATATCACATATAATAATGAAAAGATACTTTAAAGAACAATAAAAAGATACTTTAAAGATCTTGATGACTCACATTTGAAATTGTAGACATAAAAACACTTAGTAAGTGGGGCATGTGGGTGGCTCATTTGGTGAAGCATGCAACTGTTGATTTCAGCTCAGGTCATCATCTCATGGTTTGGTTTGTGGGATCAAGCCCTGTGTCGGGCTTGTGCTGATAACATGGCACCTGCTTGGGATTCTCTCTCCCTCTCTCTCTGCCTCTCCCCCATTTACATGTGTGCGCACGCGCACTTTCGCTCTCCCTCTCAAAATAAATAAACTTAAAAAAAAAACAGGAAGTAAGTGAATACTTAACATTTTCTTTGTATTTCAGACAAATGGAAGTTAAGCTTTATTCTTCCCAAAAATAAATCACTTAAAATGGTCTTTCTGCTTATAAAACTGTGCTTCTTATAAACCTTGATATGATAAAGTAATTTTTTAAGTTTATTTATTTTGAGAGAGAGAGAGAGAGACAGAGCAGGGGAGGGGCAGAGAGGGAGAGAGAGAATCTCAAGCAGGCTCTGCACTATCAGCACAGGGCCTGACATGAAGCTTTATCTCACGAACTGTGAGATCATGACCTGAGCTAAAATCAAGAGTCCAACACTCAACCGACTCAGCCACCCAGGTGCCCCATGATGCAGTAATTTATAAAGTAGTAACATAAAGGTTTGTACTTCTATGGCAATTTTAATCTGTCCCCTCTTCCCCCTCAACCTACGGAAGTGTGTTATCCTTAAAAATTTTTTTGAAGCAAACATACATATGTTCATATACAAAAGTCAATTGCTTTCCTATATACCAATAAACAAATAGAATTTGAATGTAAAACACGATGCCATTTACATTAGCAGGCGAACAAAAAACCAAAAAAACCAATAAACAAAAACCAGAATACTTAGGTATATATCTAACAAAATATGGGCACGATCTATTTGAGGAAAACTACAAAACTCTGATGAAGGAAATCAAAGAAGAACTAAATAATAGAAACAGATTCCATGTTCATGGATAGGAAGATTCAATATTGTCAAGATGTCCTAAATCGACCCATGGATTCAATGCAATCCCAACTGGAATCCCAGCAAGTTATTTTATGAATATCAAAACTGACTCTAAAGTTTATGTGGAAAGGTAAAAGACCCAGAATAGCAAACATGGCACTGAAGAACAAAGCTGGAAGATTGATACTACTCTGTTTCAGGACTTACTAAAGCTACAGTAATCAAAGCAATGTGGAATTAGTGAAAGAACAAACAAATCAATGGAACAGAATAGAGAGACCAGAAATAGATCCCCATAAATACAGTCAACTGATCTTTGACAAACAAGCAAAGGCAATACAATGGAGCCAAAAGAGTCTCCTCAACAAATGGTGCTAGAACAACTGGGCATCACATGTCAAAAGTGACTCTCGACAGACTTTACACCCTTCCAAAAATTAACTCAAAATGGATCATAGACCAAAATTAACATGGAAGACTATAAGACTCCTAGAAAATAACATAGGAGAGAAGTTAAGTGAACTTTGCTATGGTGATGACTTTTTACAGACAACATCAAATGCTTGATCCATGAAAGAAATAATTGAGAAGCTGGACATCATTAAAAATTTCTGCTCTATGAAAAGTACTTCCTATGAAGATAATGAGAACACGAGTCACAGACTAGGAGAAGATATCTGTGAAAGTCATTGGATAAAGGACAATTTTCCAAAATATACAAAGAACTCTTAAAACTAAACCATAAGAAAATGAACCACCTGATTAAAAAATGGCGAAAGACCTGAACAGACACCTCACCAAAAAGTTATACAGATGGCGGATAAGCATGTGAAAAGATGTCTGATCATGTCATTAGGGAATTGTAAATTAAAACAGTGAGATAATAATATACATCTACTGGAATGGCTAAAATCCAAAACACCAATACTACCAAATGCTGGTTAGGATGTGAAGCAACAGCAATTCTTATTTATTAATGGTGGGAATGCAAAATGGTATAGACACTGTGGGAGATCGTTTGGAAGTTTACAACAAAACTAAATATATTCTTATAAATTTTTTTTTTAATGTTTATTTATTTTTGGGACAGAGAGAGACAGAGCATGAACGGGGGAGGGGCAGAGAGAGAGGGAGACACAGAATCGGAAACAGGCTCCAGTCTCTGAGCCACCAGCCCAGAGCCTGACGCGGGGCTCGAACTCACGGACCGCGAGATCGTGACCTGGCTGAAGTCGGATGCTTAACCGACTGCGCCACCCAGGCGCCCCAAAACTAAATATATTCTTAACACACAATCCAGTAATTGTGGTCTTTGGTATTTACCAAAGAAGTTAAAAACTTATGTCCACAAAAAAAAAAAAACCTGTTAAGAGATGTTTACATCATATTCATAATTGTTATACCTGGGAAGTAACTGAAATATCCTTCAGTAGGTGGATATCCAGTCAACAGAATGAATAAATCAACTGTGGAACATCCAGATAATGGAATATTATTCAGCATTACAAAGACATGAGCTATTAAGCTATGAAAAGACATGGAGGAACCTTAAATGCATAGCTAAGTGAAAGAAGTCAATGTTAAAAGGCTACAAATTGTATGACTACAACTATATGAAAGGTCTGGAAAAGGCAGAACTATGGAGACAGTAAAAGAATTGGTGGTTGCCAGGGATGAGGGGGAAGAAAGAATCAAAAGGTGGAGCACAAATTCCGTAGGGTGGTAAAACTACTGCGTATGATACTATAAATGGTAGAAAATGTGTCATGCATTTATCAAACCATAGAACGAAAACACAAACAGTAAGCCATAATGTGAATTATGGGATGATAATGGTGTGGCAGTGTAGGCTGACCTATTAGAACAAATGCACCACTCTGGTATGGAGGATGTTGGTACTGGGGGAGGCTGTGCCGGTGTGGGGGTGAGGGGGGTCCATGGGGAAACTATGCTCTCCCCTCTATGTGTCAATTATACCTCAATAAAGGTTAAAAAAGAAAAGAAGTTCTGACACATGCTACCACATAGATGAACTTGAAGACACGCTAAGGGAAATAAGCCAGTCCAAAAGGACAAATCCTGTGTGATGGATTCCACTTATATGAGGTCTCTGAAGCAGTCAAATTCATAGACAGAGAGCAGAAGGGTGGTTGCAAGGGGTTGAGAGGGGAGGGAAAACAGAGGGGCTGTCTCACAGGACAGAGTTTCAGTTTTGCAAGATGAAAAGAGTTCTGGAGGTTACACGGCAATATAAACGTACTTGACACTACTGAACTGTATACTACGAAATGGTTAAGGTGGTGGGTACATTTTATGTTATGCAGATTTTTCCACAATTAAAAAAAAAAAATCATCCCTGACATCAGTGTAACTACTGTGTGAAGGATAAATGAATGACATCATAGAGCAGAACAATAAAACTAGCCCTTATTATCTTAAAAAAAAACTTTGCATATTGTTTGATTAAAAAAAAAAAAGAAGAATACAGGGGCACCTCAGTGGCTCAGTTGGTGAAGTGTCCAACTCTTGGTTTCAGTTCAGGTCATGATCTCATGGTTTGTGGGATCAAGCCCTGCGTCGGGCTCTGCACTGACAGCATGGAACCTGCTTGGGATTCTCTCTCCCCCTCTCTCTGCCCCCCCACCCCGCTCATACTGTCTCTCTCTCTCTCAAAATAAATAAATAAACTTAAAAAAATATTTAAAAAGAGTACAATACTCTGAAACAAGTCAGTCAAAGACAAATGCTATGATTTCACTCATATGTGGAATTTAAGAAACAAAACAAGCGAACAAAGAAAAAAAGAGACAAACCAAGAAACAGACTCTTAACTATAGAGAACAAACAGATGGTTACCAGAAGGCAGGGGGATGGGGGGAATACATGAAGGGAATTAAGAGTCACTGAGTAATGTATGGAATTGTTAAATCACTACATTGTACACCTGAAACTAATATAACACTGCATGTTAACTATACTGGAATTAAAATTTAAAAATAATTTTAATTAAAAAAATTCTTAAAGGTAAAATTTCTCAGTCAAGAGTATATATATTTTAAATTTTGATGCTTACTGACAAGCTGAGTGTTTAATCTCTACTTGTATAACCCACCCAGCCACCCACCCCCAATCTGGAATTCAACCAGCATGCAACAGAATAAATACAGCACGGCATATCTAGAGTTTACCAGTAAAAAAAGAAAGGCAGCCAGACAGCTATAACCCTTATGGCTATAAGTAAGAAGAACATACTTATCTGTTCAAGCAAAATTCTTCTATCATTTTTATTCTACTCTATTGTAAAACTCTCCTTTTCCTTCTTTGAAGACTTCTGAGATCCTTGGTTTCTCTGAGTGATTGCTTTGTTTCTTTCTTTTCCCTAGAGGCCTACCCCTACCCTTATCCCTCCAGAGAGCTTTCTTAAGCCCCATCTTGTCATGTCTTTGTTCTTCAGGTCAACTGGTTCCATGTAGATGATGACCAGATCTTCGCCTTTCAGAGAGGCTCTTGATTTCTGTTTAATATTCTTGTGTTGTGTCCAAAAAAAATTTTTTTTGCTCTAACTTTTTATTACCTCTGTCACTCTCACACCACTATACGTATAACAACTCATCCTTCTAACTCTGATTCCTAACTTTGGGGCTATTCCATTATCTCAAGGAGTATTCTCTATTTCAAAATAAAATTC